CGTGCGGGCCATGGCGGGGTCGCGCTGCGGGAGCGCCGGACAGCTGCCACCCAGAGTTCCCTGCTCTGCGGAGACCCCGCGGGCGCCCCGTCCGGGCCTGCGGGGCGGGGCGTGAAGGGGGCGGGGACAGAGGGCAGCGGAGCATGGAGCCCGCGCTGGATTGGACAGGGTTTTGCCTTGTGGGCGTGGCCAACGGCGGGGCGGGGCTTAAGAACTGGGTTTGCCTTGTGGGCGTGGCCAACGGCGGGGCGGGGCTTAAGAACTGGGTTTTGCCTTGTGGGCGTGGCCCGAGGCGGGGCGAGGCCGGGAAGCAGGGCTGCATTGGACGGGGGGAGATAGGGGCATGGTTCGGGAAGAGTAGGGCTCCCTTTGTGGGCGGGGCCTGAGGCGGAGCCGGGGTCTGGAGTGGACGGAGGCTGGGTTGGGCGGGGCCATGGGCGTAGTTTGCGAAGGGGCGGGGCGGGGATTTGTTGGCGGGAAGTGGGGCGGCCGATTCCCGGCTTGCCCCCCTTCCCCGTCCCCCCCCCCCCCCCCCCCCCATGATGGCTGTGGAAGGGTCTACCATTACCAGCCCCCCGCAACAATTTTATTACATTTTCCAAAAACACATTTGAAGCCGGGCGCGGCGGCTCGGGCCGGTCAGGCCAGCCACTCAGGAGGCTGGGGTCTGAGGATCGCGGTGCAGAGCCAGCCTGGGCAGCCAAGTTCGTGACTCATCTTCAACTGCCAAAAAGCCGGAAGTGGCGCTGTGGCTCAGGTGGTGGAGCGCTCGCCTTGAGCTGAAGAGCTGATAGCGCCCAGGCCGAGTTCAGGCCCCACGGCCGACACACGCGCGCGCGCACACCACGCATGCGCACGCACACACCACACACGCATACGCACACACCACACGCACGCGTGCGCACACGCGCACACCGCACGAAGTTGAGATGAACAACACAGAAGTTTCCGTTTTATTCAGCGGCGGTTAGCACATCCATCATGGGCACCTTCCCCACGCTCCCGCTGTCCTCCCCGAAGCCGGGCCGCCGGGCCTGGCTCAGGCCGCTCGGCCTCTTCGCGGAGGCTCAGTCCGCCCCACACCCGGGCCACAGCCGCTGCCAGCTGGTGGCTAACTGGAGACGAGGGTCTCCCGCTGCCCAGGCTGGCTTAGAACCCTGGTCCTCGGACGTCAGCCTCCTGAGTAGCGAGGACTGCGGTGGTCTTCTGTTGCAGGACCGCACTGTGGTTGTCCGTTCATCTGCGGGTGGACGTTTCCACCTTCTGGCAGTCATGCTTGTTCCCTGCCTCCCTGCCTTCAACTCCTTTGAGCTCTGAGCGTTGAATTGCCCAGTTAAATCCGTCTTCATTTAAACAGAAAGCAAAACCATCAAACTGTGTCCCAAGACAGCCTTGTGTGGTCCTTTCCTGTCAGCTTCCGTGGGGGCTTTCCTTATTTTCCTGCAAACTTCTCAGTTTTCTCCTCCGCCCTCCAGCCCAGATGGTGTGAGGTGACATTTGCTTTCTTTCTTCTGGTCCTGGGTCTTGAACTCAGGGCCTGAGCACAGTCCCTGAGCTCTTTTGCTCAAAGCTAGCACCACTTCTGGATTTTTATTTTTTATTTATTATTATTTTTTGGGGGGGTCGGGTCATGGGACCTGAACTCTGGGCCTGGGCGCTGTCCCTCAGCTCTTCAGCTCAAGGCTAGTGCTCTACCACTTGAGCCACAGCACCACTCCCGGCTTTTTTCTTTTTTCTTATGTGGTGCTGAGGAATCGAACCAGGGCCTCAGGCATGCAAGGCAAGCGCTCTACCACTGAGCCACCTTCCCAGCCCACTTCTGGCTTTTTCTGTGTATGTGATACTGAGGAATTGAAGCCAGGGCTTCAAGCATGCTAGGCCAGCACTCTAACACTGAGCCAGCTTCCCAGCCCTGTGGGTTTTTTTATTTTTTAATAATTTGAAATTCAGAATTTGATGCCCATAAAGGTTTACTGAAACCACCTTGCAGCTCATCCATTTACAAACCATCTGCAGCTGCTTCTGTGCAACAAAGGTTGTGGGGAGATGGACAGTATGGCTGACAAAACCGAAAATACTGTGGGGGGGCCACTGGTGCCTTGGCGATTGAGACATGGACAATTGGGAGTTCAAGACCAGCCTGGACTGCAGATCCAATTCAAGGCTAGCCTGAGCTAGCTAGCTGAAGCCCTGACTCCGCCCTCCACCCCACCCCCTGCTGTGGTTTTGATCTGCATTTCCTTAATAATTGGTGAGGGTGAGCTGGAGAAATATGTGTCCAAGTCCTTGACTGCATCTCAAATTCAGTTACCTGTTTTTTGGAGGTGTGAGTGTGGGTGTCATTTTTTTTCATTTTGTCAAACAGGGTGGTTTCTTAGCCCCCAGGGGGCCTGGAACTCTCTGTCTCCCTGCCTCTAGCTGCCCAGTGCTGGTTTTCAGGGGCACCAGCACCTCACTGGACCTGCGTTAGCCTTTTTGTTGTTGGGTAAGTCTGGACAGTACATGTATGTCACCTACCTGACCTCTAGCGTTTCCTCCCATTCTTCGTGCCCTCTCCCCACCCTGTTTCTAAGAAACACTGACTGCCTGCAGAGAAGGGACAGCTGGGAAAAGCAGGCTGTCTGGCTGTGCCCGACCAGCGCCCAATCAGCATATGCCTGTGGCTGTTCCTCTAGCCCCCAGCCCCCTTCCTCCCTCCCTCCCCTTGGACCACCCCTGCAGTCAGGCCTGCTGGTCCCCAAGGTCACACTGGTGCTAGCCAGGGGTATTTACATTCACCTGCCTCACAGAAGCACCAGCCACCTGGCCGTCTGCTGTCCAGGAACTCCATGTGCAAAGCCAAGCCCTGGGAAGCTTTCCAGGCTGACATGCCAGGGAGACGGCAGCACGAAGTGACAACTTTGCTGCGACAGAGCCAGGGTTATTATTTTGTGTGATCACTTGGGGATTCGTGGGAGACCCCGCTGGCTGGCTGGGGTCCTAGAACACCCGGAAGCAAAGGCTGAGATGTAGTCCATGAAGATCGTGACCAAACCTGTCTCTCACCACAGCTACTCAGGAGGCTGAGATCAAGGATCACGGTTCCAGCCTTGAAAGGAAAGTCTCTACGACTCCAATTAACTACCGCGAAGCCAGAAGTGGAGCAGTGACTCAAGTGGTTGATGCCAGGCTGGAGCACAAAAGCTGGAGACAGTGCCCAGGCGGAGCTCAAGCCCCAGGGCGGCGCACACTTGTGTGGAAGGTCATTATTATTATTTTTTGGTTGGTCGTGGGTTTTGAACTCTGGGCCTGGGCGCTGTCCCTCAGCTCTTCAGCTCAAGGCTAGCGCTCTACCGCTTGAGCCACAGAGCCACTTCCTGTTTCCTAGTGGTTAAATGAAGATAAGTGTCATGGACTTTCCTGCCCGGGCTGGCTTTGAACTGAGATCCTCAGATCACAGCCTCCTGAGTAGCTGGGATGACAGGCGGGAGCCTCGGCGCCCGCTTCGGAAG